AGTCCTGAAAATAAAGAAAACTCTTTGAATGAGGAGGTGTGTCCAAACTTTTGGTCTGTACTGTACATATCAAAAGAAGTGTTCCTGTGGGGATGCTCACAACAAATTTAAATTAATACGTTTTAAAAGATACTATAAGTGATCAGTTCTACAATGTTAAGAAATTAACTGAGTGATTTTCAAAGATTATATAATTGTAAGAGACCACTAAAATGGAGTTTATTGAACATCCTTTAAAAACAGGTTAATGAGTTTATTGTAAATCTCAAACTGCTTCTACTAAACCAGAAATACAGCTAAAGCTATGTGTTCTATTTTTACTCTATTTTGTTATGTTTATTCATTTTAAAACCCTTATGGCGTAACAGGTTAAAGGTTTAATGTTCATTGTAAACATGTCATGTAACTCTTTGTTGTAAAATGATTTGAGCTGCAGTTCTTGTATGAAAGGATTCTATACTTATTGTATTGTAAACACCATGTAATTTTGCTCAGAAGTTGTTGTAATTTTTGCAGTCTGCTGCATTAAAAATAATTATAATCTTTTTTTTTACCTTTAAGCAAATCCATGTCTTTGGACTGCAACATCTTGTTTGGGGGGACAAGATATGCAAGGACCTTGTGCACCTTCTCAGCAATCAATTTAAAGCTGGGCTCATGCTCTGCCACAATCCTGTTGCCTAGATGTGCAGATCTGCTCCAAATGCCCAGTTGCTGCTGATCTCTCAAGCAGTGTGGATTGGCCATCCAATAATTTCAGAATGACTGAGACTGTAAAACTGAGAAAATATATCTTAATATCTACAGGTGGTGGAGTCATTCACACAGTAAAGCTTCATCATTATCAGCATAATTCGTCCAAATAAATATACCTGTAGCAAATGTCCACTCTAACGGTCCAATAGGCACTTGGGTTTCTCTCCTTTGTAGAGAATGGCAACAGTTGGTTTTCTGTACTACCAAATCAACATAGGAAATAATAGAAAGTTGGCCACTCCTGAGTAAAAAAAAAATCTAAATACAAATAAAATAAACAGCTTCTAGTCCATGGCAGGCATGGTTGACTCTGTGGGCATGCACGGCCCCCCAGTTCCCGCCCAGTTCCACCGGGGCTTGCAACCGGAACTCTTCATACAGCAGAGTTGATCTTCCTCTCTCTAAAACCTCCTGTTTCGACTGAAAGTCCAGTTTAGAAAAAACATTTTCCAGTTTTGAGAAGTAATCTTACATTTTATCAGACTAAATTGAAATAAGCAATTACAGGACTTCTCGGGGAAAACATCCCTACTGCCTGCGTAGCTGAAGGGTACGTAGCGACGTGCTGTTAGCTGGGCTCAGCACTGCCCTCTATCAGTGCGGCACGGTACTTTTTCCCTTGCCCTGTCTATTTTCACTACACATTTATGGCTAGTTAGATAGATTAGGTATGTCACACACATTGATTACATATGTTAGACAGACTGTGAAACATCAGCATGTTTAGTACATGTGTAATCCAGCATGTATATTGGCAATATAAAGAGCAATGGGCATGCACCAACTGCCTGCATCAGTCAGTGTGTGACACAGCGCCATATGTGGTGAGGCACAGCTATTCACTGCCTCACATGGCTTTTGTCCCTTGTATTTGAATCAGCAATGCGTCAATTCAGCAATTTTGACCATACAAATTTTGAAAAGTGGACACATTGGTTTTCTCTTATCAACGCTAGTATTTTACTTGTCATGAAGACAGCTTACTGCTGTGTTCCGCAAATGTGTAAAATTCCCCCTACATTAAGGCTGAACAGGCAGAAATTAAATAACAATTTGCAGCGAGCAGTCAATTTTCAAATGTGATCGGGGCTTTCGACTGCACTCGTATTGCTTTAAATGTAAATACTTTTGTGATTAGAAAGCATTTTCATTCCATAAATGTGAAACTCATGTGATGGTTTGGCATGTTGGCCTGGTTCAACACATGATTCCTTTATACTGCGGAGTTGTACTGTTGGAAACTAACTCCAAGCAGGAGCCAGTCACGATGGCTGCCCTGTGGGTAAGTTTTGACATTAACCTCTATTTTACATTACGTGGATCTTCTTATCTTTCCTTTCCTTTCCTGGAGGCTGCTGTTGCCATGGTTATTGGAAAGCATGGTCGGTGCAGTGACTGCAATGTAGTGGTTGGTGAGAGTACTGTCAGACAGCACAGGATGGTGGCGTGTAGAATGATGGTGAGGAAGATGAAGAGGACAAAGGCAGAGCAGAGGACACAGTGTGGAAGCTAAAAAGGAAGAATTTGTGTTGCTTTAAGGGAGGTGTTGAGACGGGTCCTGGGTAGCCAGGAGGTGCTTCCAGATGACTGGACAACTAAGGCTAATGCTAATAAGGGAGGCAGGTAGAAAAGTACTTGGTATGCCATCTGGAAGGAAAGTTGATAAGGAGACTTGGTTGTGGAATGAGGAGGTACTGGAGTACCTAAGAAGGAGATCAGCTAAGAAGTGGGACTCTGTGAGGACTGAAGAGTCACCAGGACCTACAAGGAGAGTCAGTGTAAAATGAAGGTAGATGTGGCTAAAGGCAAACAAAGGGATATGGTTAGTTGTATGATAGGTTGGACAGTAGGGAGGGAGAGAAGGATTTACACAGGTTGGCGAGACAGACAGACAGAGATGGGAAGGATGTTCTGCAGGTTACGGTGATTAAGGATCGAGATGGAAATGTACTGACAGGTGCAGCAAGTGTGAAAGAAAGATGGTAGGAGTACATTAAAGGGGTGATGAATGAGGAAAATGAGAGAGGACAAAGAGCACAAGAAGTGACCTTTTTAGGAAGTAGCAAAATTCAGTCAGGATGAAGGATGAAGAGTGTAAAGGCAGTTGGTTCTGATGATATACCTGTGAGGTATAGAAGTGTCTTGCAGAGACAGCACTAGAGTTTTTCCCTTTAGGCTGTTTAATGAGATCTTACAGAGCAAGAAGAAGTGTGCTGTTACTTTCAAGAACCAGCAAGATGTTCAGAGTGGTGGCAACTACCGAGAATTAAAATTAGTGAGTCATACAAAGAAGTGATGGGAAAGAGTAGCAGAAACTAGACTGAGGTCAGAAGTTAGCATCTGTGAGCAGAAGTATGGTTTCATGCCAAGAAAAACTACTACAGATGCAATATTTGCTTTGAGGATGTAGATAGAGAAGCGCATAGAAGGTCAGAGGTAGCTGCATTGTATTTTTGTGGATCTGAAGAAAGCATGTGACAGGGTGCTGAGAGGAGCTTTGGTATTGTATCAGGAAGCCTGAAGTAGTGGAGAAGTATGTTAGTTTAGTGCAAGACATGTATGAGAGCTGTAAGACAGTGGTGAGGTGTGCTGTTGGTGTGAGAGAGGAGTTCAAGGTGGAAGTGGGACAGCATCAAAGATCGGCTTTGAGCCCCTTCATGTTTGCTGCAGTGATGGACAGGTTGACAGGTGAGGTTAGACAGGAATCTCCATGGACTGTGATGTTTGCAGGTGACATTGTGATCTGTGGTGAGAGCAGAGAACAGGTGAAGGAAAATCTAGAGAGCTGGAGGTTTGTCCTGGAAAGGAGAGGAATGAAGGTTAGTCGGAGAAACACAGAAGAAGTGTGTGTGAATTAGAGGGACCCAAGTGGAGCCGTGAGGTTACAGGGAACAGAGATGAAGAAGGTGGAGGATTTTAAGTACATAGGATCAACAGTCCAGAGCAACGGTGAGTGTGGAAAAGAGATGAAGAAACGTGTCCAAGCAGGTTGGAACAGGAGGAGAAAAGTGTCAGGTGTGTTGTGTGATAAGAGTATCAGCAAGAATGAAAGGAACAGTGTAGAAGATGGTGGTGAGACCAACGATCTTGTATGACTTACAGAGAGTGGAACAGAGGAAGAGACAGGAGGCAAAGCTGGAGGTAGCAGAGATGAAGATGTTGAGGTTCCCGAAGTGACGAGGATGGATAGGATCGGGAATGAGAACATCAGAGGGACAGCTCATGTTAGATATGATGGAGATAAAGTCAGAGAGGCCAGACTGAGATAGTTTGGACACGTAAAGAGTAGGGATAGTAAGTACATTGTTAAAAGGATGCTGAGGGTGGAACTGGCAGGCAGGAGGAGTAGAGGAAGACCAAAGAGGAGATTTATGGATGGAGTGAAAGAGGACATTAAGGTTGTGGGTGAGAAAAGAAAATACAGGAGATAGGGTTAGATGGAGACAGATGACTCACTGGGGTGGGCCTTGAAAGGGAAATGCCAAGAGAAACATATAATTTAACAATTTAATATTAAAGACAGAAATATATAAATAAAAAAAAATACAAAATTTCTTTTTGAACTATTTATTTAGAAATAAAAAAAGTATTCAATTGTATTTATTATTGATGTTTTATAGAGAAATCATCTTTATTTTTGTTTATTTTTGTTTGAGTAAGTAAACAAAGATTTCAGAGCATTTATTTGATGAAATTTCCTTTACTTTTTATTTTTCTATTATTGTGATTTATTTAATAAAAATAAAGTTTGGTTTGTTTTTTTCTATTTTGAATAACATAAGGTAAAATGAAATATTGTCATTAGTTTTATTTATTTTTTATCCTACTATTTGGAGTTTTTTTTATTTAAAACGAGATGTTTTATTTTATTTTATTTGTGTTTGTTCACTTGAACTGAAAAATAAAGTTTATTCTTATTTTATTTTATTTTGGTGTCCTCTGCCCTCCACCAGAGGGCGCCCTTCTAGCTGTTTCTCTTTTGTCAGACTTCCTTTTCAGTCAATCTGTTCTCTCAGACCTTGGATCACACAGAAAACTGATATTTTATTTATCTTTCTCCACATCAAAAAAATTCTTGATGATTAAAAACTAATGTTTAAAATGACAGCAGCAAAAGATGATGCTTTTTTCTTGCTGTTGGAAGGACGGACGTTAGAGAGTTGAACATTATTAAAGTGAAAGATCTTTTTTGGCACTAAAAAAGGGAAAGTGGGTGGAGAGATATGAGGAATACATCCAACAAATGGCCTGAGACTGGGAATCAAACCCAGGACATCCGCATCGAGGACTACAGCCTCTGCACATGTTCGCCTGCCCTACCAACTGAGCAACCTTGCACTCAGAAGATTTGATTTTAAATATAAATTGTGTATCTTGATAAACTAAAGTATATCATGATATTAATTTTAGGCCATTTCACCCAGTCCTAACTGAGAGAGTGCCTTCCTAGGCAAAATGACAAGAAATCTGTTTAAAAGAGTCAAGGTGAGGCTTTAAAACCTCAGAGCACTGTACCAACTTTGAGGCATGGTGGTGGCAGCATCGTGTGCAGGGGCTGGTGTATTGCACAAAGTGGATGAAATCAGTAGCTAGATTGCTGAAACCCGGACACAGTTGGGTGTTCCAACAGGACAACGATCCCAAACACACATCCACATGGATGGGTCTTCCAGATGCTTTTCTAAGCTCTGACTTCCAACCAAAATTTCACACTATGATTAAAAACACAGTCCATAGCATCAGACCAACCAGTAGAGATAAACTCTTACAATTCGGGCCAGAAGAGTGGTCATATATCGGACCTGAATGAGGTCAGATGCTCGTTGAAGGCTATGAAAAGTGTGTGGTTGAGGTGCAACTTGCTAAGGCCATTTTAACTAAAATTAATGGGTGTGCGTGGAAATAGTTCAACTCTGTGTGGAGTACAGAAAATCTTCAAAATAATCCATATGTGTAAAAACAATTGTTGTTAAGCCTGTGTTATGATTAATACTGTTATTAAACACTGTTAATAAAGCAAACAACGGTAAATGTCACACAATGAAGGGGTTGAATCAGTGCTTATCGTTCAAAAATTAAGCGCTAATCTGGGCTTCACACATTCACAGCATTTCTTAATGTCAGATAAGATGTTTTAATATCACTATTTTAAGACAAATGTCTGTTCAGTCAACATCATATGAATATTATTACTTTTATTTTGACATGTCAGACAGCAAATAAAAATAAAGAATTTTATGTTTTCATGTAAAAGGTTCAGAGATGATCTCAAACCTACCACTAGATGGCGCTGTAAGCTTCATTTTGGCATCTTGGTTCTCATCCTCGCCGCTCCCAGCTGACAGTGTAATATCGACTTAAGGATGCTTTAAATCAATATTTTTCATTATTTGAGGTCCACACTTACACGGTAAAGGAATATTGTCTTTATTAAAGTTCACAGTGTTACTTTAGCTGCAGAGGAACAGACAGCCTGCTGTCTCTGTTCGTCCTCGGCACTAATGTCTAACTGTCTGAATCTGATTCTGTCGGTCAGTTAATCTGCAAGACAATCTGCAACAAACCATCCACTAATAAAAATAACCTGCTCCATCGACAGCTGGTAAAACGGTAAAAGCAGGGTTTCCACAGATTTTTCATGTAAAAATTACAAACTTTTCCAAACTGAAAACTCAGAATTATCAGCCATTTTCATCCATTTTAAAATAGAATTAAAAACTCTTTATGAGTTTATAGCAAAGATGTTTAGAGTCAGAGTGCTTTTTGTATGGAACCTGCAAAAACCACAGACAGATAGCCAGACATTCAGAAAATACACAAGAATAAAATAGTGAGGAAGGAAGGACTCAACAAATGATGTTTAAAAGGAACTAAGGACATAGGGAAGGATGGAAGGACAGTGGGATCGAAGAAAAAGAACGAAAGGGTAGAGGAAGAACAGAGAGAAGTAAAAAGATCTGAAGGAGACAAGAAGACAGGGAGGACAGACATAAGAATGAAATTATGGAATAAAGGTAAACAAATAAAAGAAGGAGGGAAGATTAGAAAGAATAAGGAAGGGTGGAAGGAAGAACATCAAAAGAAAGAAGAAAACAAGGAAGATGGGAAGGAAAAAAGGGAGGACACGAGAAGATAGGAAGAAGGAAACAAGAAAGAGAGTGAGGAAAATTGGACACAATGAAGGGCAGATGCTGTGTTTTCTTAGTCTTGTATTTGGATCTTATTAGGTTGTTATTTCTGTTTTCTGTCACTCAAACCCTGCATGCTTTACTCATTTTTATATGATTCTTGGTTCGTTCTCATATGTCTGTTCTTTGTGTATTGTCTTAGATTTTTACTTTTAGTGTTAGTCTTCAGCTTTTGGGTTCAGGGAGATCCTTTCGTGTCCTGGTAAATACCTACTTGTTAATTTATGTGTTAGTCACCTTTCTATTGGTTCCCCTGTTCAGGTTCTCAACCAGCTGCACCACGTTCTCCTGATTCGTCTTATCTGGTTCTCCAGTCATTCAGTTACCTGCCCAGCAGTTAAAAGCCAGTCAGCTTTATAGGCAGGTAGGTAGGTAGTAGGAGGGAAGGAAGGAAGGAAGGAAGGATTAAAGGAATGATGGATGGAAGGAAGACAAAATGATATAAATTTCTTCTCCATCCTTATTCAGATCTGGACTTTTCCAGAAACTGTGGGAACCTTGCAAATGAGTAACGATACCAGAGTGTTTTAACTAAATATTTCCAAGGGCATAGAAAAACATTTTACAGCTTCAATAAAGTAAATTACATTTAATGAATGTTTTTAATGTGTGACTAAGAAAGCATCTGATGAGGAAAACATGTCAGTGAGAGCTGGAGTCCAGTGTGTGTGTTGCGGAGGGGGGGGGGGATGAACAGCTGTGACTGCTACCTTTGAGGCAAAAGGGAGGCTGACCTGCGAGGTCTTTGGTTCCACATGACAAAAACGGTGGAAGAAAAACAGGGAAGGAGACGGACTGAGTGCAGCATTTTCCCACATTAAATGGAAAACCCAGGCCGGCTGATTTTTCCAGTGGATATCCAGAGGAGGAGGCAGCCAGAATCCAGGCTAAGTTCTTTAATTACTTAAAAGTTGTTCTACTTCAATATGAATCAAAAAGAAAATATGACCCAAGAGAGGAAGATTAAAGAGAGGCGATGAGTCAAAACTAGATGTGGCTCCATCATGATTCGGTTGCAAGAAACGTTACATCTAACAGTTTTTATTCAGTGTCCCGTTAATGTTTCACATCATAAGACTACCTTTACCATCAGACAAATATAACCTGAGAAAAGACCACACTCAGTTTTCAATGATCATAATATTTATTAAGGGAAAACAAACCGTACAAACCAATCTGACCAGATGTAAAACAACAATTAGCCTCTAGACCTAATAACTGGTCTGCCACGCTTGGCAGCAACAACTGCCATCAAGAGTTTGTGTTAACTGGCCACAAGTCTTTCACATTACTGTGGAGAACCTCTGGACCACTGTTTATTTTAATGAAGCCACATTTGAGGGCTTTTAAGCATGAATGGCCTGTTTAAACCCATCTCACAGCATCTCAGTCAGAACCCAGTCTGCACTTTAACTAGGCCAATCAAAAGTGTTTTGTTTTTTGACTTATTTAGAGGTGGTCCTGCTTTGAACTTCACTTTATTTTTAAAGGGACAATGTAGAGCTCAAGCATTGATGTGTTGTACCATATTATAGCTTTAAGTTAAGTCACATCGGCAGTCCCTGTCCTTCAGATGTTGTCGTGGTTCTGATCTGCTGCTGCAGTACCAGACAGTGAACTTGAACTTAAGGTCAAAAGCTAGTAGTCGGACATTTTCCCAAACGAGCTTCTGGGAAAAAGCAGAAATCATGGCTTTATCAACTATATGAAGTCATCCAGATGCTGTAGCAGCAAAGCAGATCCAGAACATCACGGTACCACCAACATGTTTGGCCATGTATGATGTCCTTTTTCTAACAAACACTGTGTTTGTTCAACCTTTGTCCCATCAGTCCACATAGTGTTTCCTCAAAAGACGTGGGGATCATTAAGGTGTTTTTTTTGGCAAATGTGTGATGGGTCTTTGTGTTCTTCTGGTCAGCAGTGGTTCTGGTCTTAAAACTCTCCCACAGATGCCATTTTTGTTCAGTCTCTCTTTCTTATTTTTGAATCTTGAACTCTGACTGTCACTGAGTTTAGTGAGGCCTGCAGAGCTTTAAAGGTTGGTGTGGATTCTTTTGTGACCTCCTGGATGAGGTTGGCTTCCGCTGTGAAGGTTCACCAATGTTCCATGTTTTCTCCATTTGTGGATAATAACTCTTACTGGCTTCACTGGACCCCCAATCCCTAGAAACAGGTTCGAACCCTGATGTCAGTGACTTTGTTTCTCATTGGTTCTTGAATGTCTTTGATCTGCAGCCTGATGTGTTGCATTGTTAAATATTTTAGCCTACTTCATGCTGTCAGAAGGATTCTGTTTAAGAGATTTCTTCATTCTACGGGTCTGGCAGTCACGTCTGGGTGTAATCAGTGAATTAAACTCAGTTTTACAATAATGTGGTTAAAAACTGTTAATTCATGATTTACCAAGGGGTGCAATTACTTTTACACACAGGACCTGACTGATTTGTGATGTTTGTTGCCCATTAAGAAATAAAATTATCATTTGGAAACAAGTGCTTGTATTTACTCAGGCTTTCTTTGTCTGATTTTAAACTTTATTTGAATATCTGAAGCATTTCAGTGTGATAGAAAAAAATTAAAATAGAAGAAATCCTTTAGGGGTTAAATACTTTTCCACAGCATTTGAAATTTTTCTCTTATAATGTAAAATTTCAGTGATCAAATGTTCCTTAAAACTCTGATTAACTCTAAAAAATAAAACAAAATATTTAAATTGCATGTATGTTTAAGACATTGTTTGGTAATAGATGTAATTATGCCACCATTAATTATAAGAAATTAATTCTTAATGAGGGATTTTTGTTAGCCACCAAATTAATCAACTCAAATAATGATTAATACATTTGTGAAAAATGCTTATTGCGAGATTGTTCTACCTTATCCTCACCAGGAGCTGCCAGAAATACTCTGTAGATCTGGAGGGATGAAGAGGAAGGAGAAGGGATGCATATGTGAGGAAAACAGAGGGAAAAGTGCTGTGTGGGATTGCTCCATGTGGTTCCTGAGCTTCATGGAGGGAGAATCGAAGATAACACTTTCAGCAAACACAAACACACACACACACACCCGCCCACTTAACAAATTTATTTATGTAGAGCTCAGCTCCAGCCTCCCACCCCCTCCAATCATGCTGACTTGTCCCTACCT